CTGTAGGTTTGTCATATAAGGCTTTTATGATGTTGAGGTATTATCCCTCTATTCCCACTTTGCAGAGTTTTTATCATGAAAAGATGTTGGATTTTGTCAAATGCTTTTTCTGAATCAATTGATATGGTTATGTGATTTTTGTCTCTCAATTTGTTTAAGTGAGGTATCGCATTTATTGATTTGCTGATATTATACCAGCCTTGTATCCCTAAAATAAATCCCACTTGGTCATGGTGTATGATCTTTCTGGTGTAATGTTAGATCCAATTTGCTAGAATTTTGTTGAGGATTTTAGCATTTATGTTCATCAGAGATATTGGCCTGTAATTTGCTTTCTTTGTAGTATCTTTATCTGGTTTTGGGATTAGGGTAATGCTGGCTTTATGGAAATAGTTTGGAAGTGTTCCTTTCTTTTGAATTTTTTGGAACGGTCTGAGGAGGATAAGTTTTAGTTCTTTGAATGTTTGTTAAAACTCCCCTATAAGCTTTCCAGTACACGGCTTTTGTTTGCTGGAAGTTTTTATATTACTGCTCCAATTTCCTCAATAGTTATTGGTCTATTCATAATGTTTTATTTTTCCTGATTGAGTTTTGAAAGTTTGTATATATACCTAATTGCTTTATCCATTCATCTGCTGATGGACACTTAGGTTATTTCCATGTATTGGCTATTATAAATTACCTCAACACACATGAAATTTTATGATTCCTGATAATTCATTTTATATTTCTAGTCTCATCATGTATTTTCCTTCCATATTTTTTGTTTATTATTTGACCATTTATTCCTTCAGAGTGAATGGATATCTATTGATGATCTGCTACTTCCTCTTCTATGCCAGATGATGGTGACTCCACAGAACAACACAAGTGCCTTCAAGGAGCTCATGAACTGAGAGAGAAGACAGAGATAGCAAGCAGTTACAAAGGTGTGGAAAGAATTCCTATAACCACGGGGCTGCAAGGTATGTGTGTAGGCACATGGGTTTCTGCAGCTGCCATCTCTCTTTTTCACACCAGAATTACTTGTGACCTTAGCTTTTAAAGCCTACCAGTTTGCCAGTTTGATCAACTATTTAATTTATTCACTCTTTCATCTGTAAACATTTTAGAACACACTCAGTGCCCCCGATTGTGTTAAATACTGGCTTTTCTTTTAAAGACTCATGACATGGAATTTCTGGCTTTCTTTCTCTCCATGATTTTTGGAAACTTAAAATCTGCTTTTTTAAAGTGCAAATAACGCATCTCGATCTGCCCATTGTTTCTTCCTTGACAACCAACAATTTTCAACACTTAGATTTCTTTTTCTTTCAAATTGTTCAGTCAATATAATTTATTGGGTGCTTTCTTTGGGTTAGACACTCTACTAAATGCTCAGGGTCATACAAAGATGACTAAGACTTAGGCCCGTTTCCCATGAAGCTTATAAACTAATGTGGAATATATATGCAGAGAGAACACAATAAATGGAAGAAAAATACTCTCCTAAAGGTATTTTATTTTAAGGATAAAAATTCCTTGCTTAGAATTAAGTCCAGAAGAGAGCCTTTTTTCTTTCCTTAATCATTAGGGAGATGACAAGATGAAGTAATACTGTGAGAACATTAAGTTTGTAATACATTTAAACAAAATTTTAAGCAATTATATAAATATTTTTTAAAAGCTGTCTTTGTATTTCCCACACATTTCAGGGGAGGAGATGTATAAATTAGTCAGAGAATGTCCCATAATTTAAAAGTCAATTCATCAGGTTATCAAAGGTTAATAATGGTATTATGAATCAAATAAAATTTTATATATTTTGTAACTACACTGCTACCCATGGGCTCTCACTTTTTACATTATATATTACTGTAATTTTGTAGTGCTGCTTTGAATAAAGTGGCATCTTATGAGCTGCACATCAGTGATGCTTACTTATCTACGGTTAATGTGGGTTCTTGAGTCAGTAGGAGGGAGCTTTCAGCTCTGATATATCCTGTATTTTCTTAGTAATGGTGTGATGATAGATGAAACAGCAACAGAGTGGCTCGGAGTTTGCTGCTTTGTGGCCTAATGATTTAGATCTGTAATTGCAAACTATGGGCTAGGATAGGGAGAATCACAGTTCTTTTCAGTGGGTTGTCAAAACTATGGGCATCAGACACTGGTGGCAGACCTGCAGTTTCTCCCTACTCTTACCCCTGTCCCAGGCTTGTAATTCCATAGTTTACAATGATCAAGCATTATGTTGTAATAAGAAAAAAACAATATGTTCATAAATATGAGTGTATGTGAAGATTATATCATGCTAATTAACTGGAAAGGTAGCTAGTAGGCTCCTTTATCAAAATGAAAAATACACACACACACACACACACACACACACACACATATATATATATATATATGTTCAAATAATATGGAAAATATTTAAAAATCACCTGTAATGCCACCATAATAAGATACCTATTACTGATGTTGCTGATGTGTTTCTTTCCTCTCCATTTTTCTATATATTGTGCGGTTGTTTTCAAATTATTAGATAACAATATTTTTCAATAAAATTTTATTTAACCCTCAAGAAGAAGAACACTTTCTTCATAGGTATCCAGTTCCGTGTTTTGGCCCAGATGGAATGGTATAATCTTGGAATGTTTACATGAAAATATATCCATCTTTTCTTAAGATCTAAGAAATATCTACCCAGAAATATCCAAACATTCATATGTTCCAGTAAGTAAAATCTTTATTATCTAGATTTACTCTCCTGTAGATGGGGCCACATTAACACAGTAATAATCAAGATTTTATTTGTCTCTACCTTATCACAAAGGACCCTAATCTCCTGAAAGGTTTCCCCCAATTCTATTGGGAGTTCAGGTGAGATTTACACACACTATGAAGAAAACCAGTTAATTCTTAGTCAGCTACCATCCCCTTTCCTCTTCCTCTCTGTAACCTTCATAGGCTCGATATTGCTGAGCGCCCTGGCACTGCCACCTCCACCAGGGTGCAGCCATGGAGGCCTGGGAGCTCTGGCGTGCCCAGCACTGCAGTGGTCTGAGGGGAAGCAGCAGGGCTGGTCTGCTTCTCCTCTCCTATGAGGGGGTCCTCAGTAGTGCCATTTGCGTTCCACATGTTACCAGATTTTTATTGAAATAGCTTTTTAGGACTATATGTAAAGTCTTACTACTCAAAGTGTGGTCCCTGGACCAGCAACACTTGGCAGAATTGTTAGAAATGTGGAGTCTCAGGCCCCCTGAATCAAATCTGCTGCTTAAAAAGAGCACCAAGCCGGGACCGGTTTGGCTCAGTGGATAGAGCGCCGGCCTGCGGACTGAAAGGTCCCAGGTTCAATTCCGGTCAAGGGCATGTACATTGCTTGCGGGCACATCCCCAGTGGGGGGTGTGCAAGAGGCAGCTGATCGATGATTCTCTCTCATCGATGTTTCTAACTCTCTATCCCTCTCTCTTCCTCTCTGTAAAAAGAAAAAAAAAAATCAATAAAATATATATTAAAAAAAAATAAAATAAAAAGAGCACCAAGTAATTTATATACTAATTTCAGTTTGAGAAGCATCTGCTTAAGGTGCCTTCCAGGACTAAGGTATGAATTCAGTTAGGGAAAAGGGCAGGGCAGGGTCAAGAATTAAAACTGGCCCCAACCGGTTTGGCTCACTGAATAGAACGTTGGCCTGCAAGCTAAAGGGTCCCATGTTCAAATCTGGTCAAGGGCATGTACCTTGGTTGCGGGCACATCCCCAATGGGGAATGGGCAGGAGGCAACTGATCGATGTTTTTCTCTTCATTGATGTTTCTAACTCTCTCTATCCCTCTTCTATTTCCCTTCCTCTCTGTAAAAAATCAATAAAATATATTTTTTAAAAGAATTAAAACTGACAAATGTTAGGAATTTTTGTAATGGCCTCTTTCCTTTCATGATGTTATTTATCCTCGAGACTAGGCCAACGTTAAAATGCTTGGCTCCTTCTCTCAGGATAGCTGTCCTCAGGAAACTCCCAGCTCCTCACCTCGAGAGATAGACTTGGTGACCTACCACCCGTATGTCAGCTGCACCAGACATAGCTTAGGCTAGATCTAAGATCCCACCAGACCATGGGAAATTACACTGCCGCTTATTATCACTTTCATGTAATAAGTTTTGAGTTCACACCTATCATTTACAAACCACTTCATTATGGGCAGTGGGACTACCAAGATAAGTACTAGTAAAACAATCTCTACTCTAAAAGGAGGCTAATAAAGTGGTAAATGCTGAGGCAGGTCAGACGTTCTGGGAGACCATTTGAGGAAGGGGCAAAAGCCTCCCAAATGCAGCAGCCTTACTGCAGTGATGAGAAAGCATTACTGTGTCTGATCCCTGCAGCCTGTGTGTGCCAGTTCTCCAGGTGGAACGCCCTTCTTCCATTTCTGTTTCCTACATTCTTACCCACTTCCCAGGCCAGTTTCAAATGCTGATTCATCAGTGAAATCTGCCAGAATCCCCTCAGCTACATGTGCTTTGCCACTTCAGAATCTCCATCATATCCTGTCTTCAGATCATTTATGTGCATTGTAGTCTTGCGGGCAAAGAATGCATTTTAGTGAGTCTTCTTAGATTCCCCATAGGACCTCCTATGAAGTGCCATAAATTATTTTTAAAGAAAAAAATATATTAAAGCTAATACATCTACTTTGTTACCACTTCTCTTCAGGAAGTAGATCTGCCTTCTCAAAACAAAGAGGAAACATGAAAGAGTGTGCTTTAAACTGGTTGGTATATTAGGGAGAATTAATTCCACTCCCCACCCCCCATCCCCATACACACCTTTTTCTCAGGTGAGATTGGTGCAGAAACAGTGTCCTCATTCCCAGATGAGTAGCTGTTAATCACAGCTGGGTGGAATTTCATCTAGTTTTCAGCTGAATGAAAGTGGCTATCTGCCTACTAGTATTTAAGAAGTCCATAGCTTGCTGGGCAGCGCTGTTTATGCCTGGTTTTCTCTAAAGCTGAGATGGCAGCCAAAATAGAGATCACGGAAGAGTGTAGTGCTGCTCTGAATAAAGTGTTATCTTATGAGCTGCACATTAGTGATGCTTATTTATCTTTGGTTAGTATGGGTTTTTGAGTCACTGGGAGGGAGGTTTCAAGTCTAATATATCTTGTGTTTTCTTAGTAATGGTTATGCTGTGATGATAGATGAAACAGCAACAGAGTGCCTTGGATTTTGCTGCTTTGTATCCTAATAATTTAGATCTGTGATTGCAAACTATGGGCTATGATAGGGAGAATCACAGTTCTTTCCAGTTGGTTGTTAAAACTATAACCATCAGGCACTGGTAGTAGACAGAATGACTGTTCTCCCATATTGAACTTTAGAGTTAATGTAGATATGTTAGGATAGGTGAAAAAGATTGACTTTAAAATGTCATTTGATTTATACTAGAGTTTTCATGTGTTTACAGCATTGTTGGATATAAGTGCTAGCAAGTGGGGTTTACAAATCTGGTCATTACAGAGGCCATAATAGTTAAAGATTAGGCCCCAGCATGTTAAAATCTGAGTGGCTTTTCTTTGAGGTAGCCTGGGTTTGAATGACAGCTGGGGCCTTCTAGCAGTCAAAGGGCAAACCATGGACCCCAGCCTGAATGAAGGTCTCTTTGGGACAACTACAGAGATAACTAAGTGAGTTTGTGTCAGATTTCCAGCCTTAAAAATCAGCTCGTCTCACCTCCAGTTTCTCCCTATTCTCAACCCTGTCCCAGGCCTATAATTCCATGGAAGAATCAGAAGAACCTAATTTTAGTGCATTCTTTGAAGAACAAGCTAATGTGAAGAGGGAACATGGAAAGGAATTCCTAGAATATATAGGAAAATATGCGAATAAAATCTGCCTTCCAGTGTTTAAGGTGAGTATGTAATTTGTCATAATGATTTTAATGGGGTCTCTGCTGGGTCTAGAGAACTAAATTATTCATTGACACCTAACTTGTTGGGTTACCAATATTGTACATGAGATTATATAAACTGACTTTGATTGCAATTATCTCTTTGTAGCCTCTTCATTTCATTTTGAGTAAATTGCAGCCACTAAGTGGTTGTTTAGCTCTTCCCAATGAGCCACACCTTCTGTGATCTCTAGACAGCAGCATCAGCATCACCTGGGAAGTAATCAGGAATGCAAATTCATGGACAAACTGAATCAGATGTTCTAAGGGTGAGCTCTAAGGACCTGTATTTTAACAAGCTCTCCAAGTGACTCCATGCTCTGGGCATATTGAGAAGCACAAATATCATGGCCTATTTTAGAAAAGTTAGCATCCTCTCTCGAGATTTAATCTAATTCAGATGCACACCCAGGTATATGAAATGACTACCTCTTCGGTGACGTTAAATAAGTACTTTTCACTGGGATGAACACTTCATAGAACTCATCTGAAATGTTAGTGGGGGGTATTAACATCTAGAAACATGCCTACTTTTGTGAGGGTTCTTTTAATTTCAGCTTTATAAAGAGAACCATTAAATGTCGGATAGAGCTAAACTGCCAGTGTGGAATTCCAAAGCTAAGGGAGTCATGCAGGTAGTGGTGCTCCTGGTACCCATGCTTTGTAAGCACATTAAAATTACATGGGGAGCTTTTAAAATCCCGATGCCCAGCACTCCATACCAATTATGTCATCATGTCCGCAGCTGAAATCCAGACACGAGGATTTAAGATGCTAGGCTGTGCCACAAAGTTTAGAAAGTGTTGAGTCATACAAACCTAAACATAATCCGATCTACGAAGTCAGCTGTGAGAAAGCTGTGCCTGAGGTGACTTCCCTGTTTCTCCCCAACAGAGGCCTGAGTTAGATTACTGGGGAACCGGCATAAGTGCTCTGGAGTATGCTCTGGCTTTGGAGAACGAGTTAACCACGCTTCTGATGGAACTGAAGACCACAGCTTCTGACAAAGAAGAGCAGGATGTAAGTTGTTAGTAGCTGGTTCTGAAAACTATGTCATCTTTCACTTTAGAATTATGACTTGCTTCTGGGAAGTGGGTCCAATGTAGTAGATCATCCAACACGTGTGTGCTTTCTCCCAAGGAAGTATATGAACTACTTCTGAGAGGAGATTGGAGGTGGGAGAAGTAGGTACACTGGTAAGAAGGAATGCAATTCATCTCAAAACGGGGAAGATTTCCCAGGAAAAATGTGCTCTGTATAATTACACAAAATGACTTTTGTTGCTGGCTCTTAATTCTGGACAAAGATTGCTTAAATGTTCATAGGTACCAGAGCCGAATGAAAGGTTTACTCAAACAACCTGCTGGGCTCTACCACACCCCTCTCCCACCCTCAGCCAGGAGTTTCTGATTCAATGGCTTTCATGTGGTGTCCCAAAATTTGCATTTCTAACCCATTTTCAGGTTATGCTGCTGCTTGCTGGCCAGGGGCCACACTTTGAGAACCACTGTCCCTGATGGTCCTTGCAAAAGTGAATGTTAATGGTGACTTATTATCCAACAGACTTCTCAAAAGTCTGCCTGGTTAATGGTGTATATTCCTACTTGTGGTGGTAACTTCTTTCTCACCAAACCCTTAGTATCATAGGAAAGCAAATTGAGGAAAATTGCTTTGTACAAAAGTTATCAATCCTAGATGCATATTGTAGTGACTTAGGAGCTCTGAAGAGATACAAACACCTGAGCTTTATTCTACTTACATCTTAATCTTTGGGAATAGGATCTGGGCACCTACTTGAAATCTTCATATCATTAAAAAAACAAAACAAAACAAAACAAAAACCAACAACAACAAAAAAACCACCACAGGGTGGGAAATCACTGCAGCAGAAGTGTTTAAATTAACCTGTACTTTTAATGATATGCCCTAACACTCATACTCATTGAAAGTGGGTATTTGTACTCACTAAAGGTTTTTAAAACATACATATTTTATTGATTTTTTTACAAAGAGGAAGAGGGATAGAGAGTTAGAAACATCCATCAGCTGCCTTCTCGCGCCCTCCCCTCTACCCCCTCCTCCCTCTTCCCTTCCCTTCCTCCCCTCCCCCACACTGGGGATGTGCCCGAAACCAAGGTACATGCCCTTGACTGGAATCGAACTTGCGACCTTTCAGTCCAAAGGCTGATGCTCTATCCACTGAGCCAAACTGGTTTCAGCCTCACTGAAGGTTTTGAATGTCTTAGATCAGTGCTCTTTAAACTTCTTTGTGCATATCAACTGCCTAGTTCTTTCTTAAAATGCAGATTCTGATTTAGTAGGACTGAAATGGGACTTGAGATTCTGTGTTTCTGAAAATCTCTCAGGACTGCAGGTCTATGAGCTGTGATTTGGGTAGGAAGATTGGTTGTTGTTGCTGTTCTCACCTGAGGATATTTTTCCATGGATATTTAGGAAGAGCGAGCAGAAGAGAGAGGGAAAGACAGAGAAACATTGATGTAAGAGAAACAACATTGATTGGTTGCCTCTGACCAGGGACAAGGCCCCAGGAGCTTGCAATGAAGGTACATACCCTTGACTGGAAACTAACCTGGGACCCTTTGATCCTCAGGCTAATCTCTATACACAGAGCAAAACTACCTAGGGCTGGGTAGGAAGAGTTTTGATTGCCTCCTGTTGCAGACAAGGTTCTTAAGGGTGTTTTCCTGTTTATTTCTGTAGATCTTAGAATTCACAAATAAGTACCTGGAAGAACAGAAGAAGAGCACAGAAACCCTAGAAGACCACATAGAATATTGCATGCTTGACCCGTAAAGGAGTAAAAGCCTGCTGAAGCGTTAAGTAAATAGATCTAACATCTGAAGGCACCTAAGCAAGTCTTCCCATTGTAGTAGGTCCCAAAATCGGCTACATAAGAATCTTCTCCATTTGACAGAAGACTGCTTTCCTTCATTGGTGTGTGTATAAATAAATCTGCTTTTGCATTATAATGGTGTAAACAGATTCCTTTTGAAGCACGAAAAGGGTTAATTCCATCCCTATAAGTTTAGTGCATTAGACTTAAAAAACAAAACAAAAACAAAACCTCCTCCTTCTCCCAGGATCCCAACAAACAGCTCAGGCCGAAACCGGTTTGGCTCAGTGGTAGAGTGTCGGTCTGCGGACTGAAGAGTCCCGGGTTCGATTCCGGTCAAGGGCATGTACATTGGTTGCAGGCACATCCCCGGTGGGGGGTGTGCAGGAGGCAGCTGGTTGATGTTTCTCTCTCATTGATGTTTCTAGCTCTCTATCTCTCTCCCTTCCTCTCTGTAAAAAATCAATAAAATATATTAAAAAAAAAACAACAAAAAAAAAACCAACGAACACTCAGATGCAGGATCAAGTTTTGTGAATTTCAATCGGTCCAAGTAGATATAGTATAAATTAAGTAGCAAAACCTACGGTCTAACCTAATGCTTTCCTCCTCTTCTACTTATATACTACATATTTAAAGTTAGATTTTCTTCTAACCAAAGTAAAGCTAACTTCAAAAACATGAGTTCTTGTTCTAGAAATGGTGACTCACCTGAAAGATGTACAGAGGACAGGCAGCTGCAATCCAGGTGCCCTTTCATAGCCTGAGGTATGCATAAGTACCAGGAAGTTACACAGCAATTAAGACTGCAAACTGTGTGGATGTGCTAACGCTATCCATGGTGGGCAAGCTAGCAGCTATTGGGGTAATTACTTTCAGGAGCAAGCAATGAGCATGCAACTTGGGTGGCTAATTCATTGGGAAGAAAGGGGGCTCTATAGGATTGTGTCCTGGCTCCAGAACTTACTAGCTCATGGCCTTGAGGAAGTTTTTGTCTCAATCATTGACTCAGTCATCTTTAAAAGAGTTAATAGTACTTACTTAATTCTCTCGTTAACTTTATGAACTAAGTTTTAATATATAAAAGTATCCAGAACTGCACTTCAGGAAAGCCAATATATAATGGAATTATTATGCTAACTAAATAAGCCAGCCAGAGAAAGGCAAATACCATACAATTTCATTTATATGTGGAAACTAACTGATAAGAATTTGAAAACAGGACAGAAAAACAGGACAGGTAGTTTTCTGGACGGACAAGGGGGTCCATGGAAGAGGAATGCATATGTGAAGGGAAAGAGACAGCCTTTAAGACCAGAATGCTTGTCTTGACTTTCATAGAGGATGGGGAAATGTTATAAGAGAAGCCATACATACACAGAGGATAGAGGGATGTTGCAAGATAAGGGGGTGAGAAATCGGGTGAGCTTTGGCATTTAAAACTGATACTATGCAGAAGAATGAATAATTAGGAAGGCACAGAGGAAATAAATTAAGGAAAGGTTCAATTAAAAAGGGTCATGTTCAGACAAAAAGCTGCCAGCATATATAAACCAAAGATAAAGAGACTCAAAACAGGATTTAGATTTTTTTCCCCCCATTTAAGAGAAAGAGCAGGCTTTTCCCATTTGGGGCACCTTAGGTGACCCTTGCCCAGGGGGCATTTGTATGTGTTTTCAAAAAGCTTCCATTTTTATTTAAAATCTTTTAATCCACTGATTTATTCTTCATACTTTGTTAGACAAGAGCCCACAGAGGGAGAGTCTGCTCACACCAACTCCACATATTCTATATAATAAAATCCTAATATGCTAAGTGTCTGGTCAACCAAAGTTTAATTCTATCTAATAAAAGAGTAATATGCAAATTATCATCACTCTGCTCAAGCCACACCCACCAGCCACGCCCACCAGCCAAATCAGAACAAGTATGCAAATTAACCCCAATCAAGATGACTGCAGCCACAGAGAGCAGTTGAGATGCTTGGGTTTCCCCGGCAAGCTTTCCATACACCCTGGCCATCCTAGGCCTCCAAGGATACAAAGTTTCAATTATAGAAGATACATAAAACCAAACAGAAATGGCAGCAGCCACAGATCGGCTCCACTCCAGGCTACAAAGTTTCAATTGTAGAAGATAAATTCCAGATACCAGGGCCTCTGATTGGGTTGCCAGGGAATGTGGGTTGCCAGGGAATGTGGCCGGCAACCACCATAGGCCCCTCACTCAGGCCACCCCATGCCCCAAGGGAACCCCCACCCTGATCCAAGACACCCTTCAGAGCAAACTAGCTGGCCCCCACCCATGCTCCAGGCCTCTATCCTATCTAATAAAAGAGTAATATGCAGATTGACCATCACTCCAACACAGAATATCTGTCCCCATGTGGTCAAAGATCCTGCCCCCATGTGGACACAAGACGGCCACCACAAGATGGCCAATAAGGGAGGGCAGTTGGAAGGCACCAGTTCTGCAAGGGAGGGCAGTTGACAGGAACCAGGTCTGCAAGGGAGGGCAGTTGAAGTTGATCAACCCTGTAGGGGAGGGCAGTTAGGGGTGGCCAGGCTGGCAGAGGAGGGAAGTTGGGGGCAAACAGGCTGGCAGGAGAGCAGCTAGACATCAATCAGGTTGGTATGGGAGTGGTTAGGGGGTGATCAGGCTGGCAGGCAGAAGCAGTTAGGGGCAATCAGGAAGGCAGGCAGGTGAACAGTTGTGTTCCTACAGTCCTGGATTGTGAGAGGGATGTCTTAGTTCTGCTGTTCAAGATTGTGTTCAACCCAGATGTTTTGAAGTTTCCCTTATCTTTTGGTTGAGTGAATTTTGTTCTCTGGGAGATGCTTCAATAAGGCCTGACATGGATAGTATTCTGAGTACTTGAATTTGCAGAAATTTTACCTGTGGCTTTGACACTTGAAGGACAGCTTATATAAAGTTAAACTATCTGGCTCAAACTGATATATCTGACAGTTATTGTTCCATTTCTGTTAGCATCTACTGTAGCTGCGCCATCTTGACTTCCTCTTTCTTAAGAATAATACAATGTCTTTGTCCAAATGTCCCAAGTTTGCTCTTAAAGTAAATAGAACATCTCTGGCATTTGTAGGATATGTATTAATGGAATACATCTTCGTATTTATCATTCTGGGGTAGTTTTCTCATATCTTGAATGCTTTTTAATATAATATTAGAATATTGTTTCAGAATATTTTAAAAAAATATTTTTTATTGATTTTAGAAAGGAAGGGAGAGGGAGATAGAACATCAGTGATGAGAGAGAATGTGATTGGCTGACTCCTGCATGCCCACACTAGGAGTTGAGCCCTCAACCCAGGGATATGTCCTAACTGGGAATTGAACTATGACCTTCTGGTTCATAGGTTGATGCACAACCACTGAGCCAACCATTTTAAAAAAATATTTGCTTTACTCTATTCTTCTAACTTTCCTTCAATTAGAATAACTCGTTATTCATATTTTGGATCATATTTGCCTATCTCTTTTATCTTTCATGGTCTCTTTTTTTTTAAAAAATATTTTTGATCATTCCTCTTTCACTTGCTACACTTTGTCTGTGTATATGCAATATATCCTGTTCTGCCTTGTCTAGTGTCTATTTTCCTTTTTGCTCCTTGTAACTTTAGTCTTTATTTATAAAATAAATTTATCTACAATTTAATTTTATTACAAAATAATTGTCGGTTCCTTCTATTTCTTTTCTGAATTTTACCAGTCAATAGTTCATATCTTCCTATTGGCTTACCATCAACTTCCTTTTGCTGGCCATGTCTCCCTGAGTTCTTGTATTTATTTTCTTATTGTCTTTCTTCCTGGCTACAATTATATCATCATTTTATACCCTTTTATTAATATTGGAATGTTGTGTTTCAGATTTCCTCTGCTTTGGAGCAATATTTTCCTAGCTGGGTCTTATTTACATGGAAGTTTTGTATCTATTTTTAGTTTCTTTTTTCTTTTGTTTTCCTAGAGTAGCATTCTTTGACTGTTGTAGTTGTACCATTACTCTGCAAATCATATTTGAATGAGTTGGATTTTTCTCAAGTAGGGGAATTTTTATTTTATTTTTTATGAGGCAAACTGACCACATATGCCAAGGATCAAGATCTCAATTATGCCCTAACCGGTTTGGCTCAGTGGATCGAGCGTCAGCCTGTGGACTCAAGGGTCCCAGGTTTGATTCCAGATGAGAGCATGTACCTTGGTTGTGTGCACATTCTCAATAGGGGGTGTACAAAAGACAGCTGATCGATATGTTTCTCTCGTAGGTCTTTCTAACTCTCTATCCCTCTTCCTTCCTCTCTGTAAAAAATCAATTTATTATTATTATTATTTTTTAAGAATCTTGAAGGGAAGGAAGGGACAGGTTTACCAGTTTCTCATTTCCAGAATTCCCTCTTGTATTTCTAGAAGAAATGCCACTTCTGGTACCAAACCTCACATAAATTATAGATCTTAACTTGGTTCCCAAAGGCTTCTATCATCAATATTATCAATACCTTCTATGATATCTTCACCACCTCTTCTGAGGAAACCACCTTCATCAATGAATCTACTCCTAATTTTCACTTTGTAACTCCTCTCTCTTTTAGCAATGCTTTTTCCTTAAATCTACCACTGATATCCAACACTTCTAGGGCTCGTCTGTACATCCTGTTCTTCTCTGAGCCACCTGCAACACTTCCAGGGCTTCCTGAGCTAAAACTTCAGATGCCAAAAAAACTTACCATCCAGGGCACACACAGAAAGAGCATGAAGGAAAGATAACCTGGTACTAATAGGTATCATAAAGCACACACACTAAAATGTTCACTTCCTAAATGGAATTTGGCAGCAGAATAAACCTAATTAAGAGGAATATCACAAATTCATTGTATTAGAATGACAACACAGACTCTGAAGACCCTTCAGAATCCTGCCTGTTGGAATTAGAGATATGACTATT